ACCACCCAGTTCTCTTGCCCTCTCACTGCACTCCGCTGTGAAGAGGCTGGCTCTGTCTTCTCAGGAACACCCTTGCAGGACTAGACAGGTTGCTGCAGGGTTCTTCAGAGCCCTCTCTCCTCCATGCTGAGCAGACCCTGCTCCCTCAGTCTCTCCTCACAGCACTTGCAGTCCTCTGTTGAACTCAGGCCATTTTGTTGCAGGCCTATGCTTAGAAGGAAAGCACGGAGGGATGGATGAAGAGCCGGAGGAGCACCCAAAGCTTTGTCTGACTTTGCTGTGCTCTTCTGAGTGGCACTGTGTGAGCAGGCTCCAAAGGGCTGAGATGAGGCTGATGTGTTGGGAATGCTCAGCCTCATTCCACATACACTGTTGCCAAAATATATATTGAGATGGTGTCAGTTCACAGCTCCCAAGTTACATATTTGGGACATGCTCATCTCTGGGTTGAATTCAGAACATCCCATTGGGATTTATGAGCTGCTCTGCGCTTTCCTAAGCATCCTGTGCTACAGACAGGTGTGTGGAGGGATCACCCATTTAACAGGGCTGTATCTGAGACAAGGAGCCTCCCTTCTGCTGTTTTTCAGATCCAGAAAGCCTCATTCAAGGCAGAGAAGAAACTGCAAACAGAGAGCTTTGGAGAAGAGTCAGTTAGTTGAGGCAGCACTGTGTCAGGGGATTGAGGAGATGGAGTTTGGGTCACCTGCATGAAAGTGGTGCAGGGAAGAGCAGAACAAACAGCACAGAAGCTGCTAGACATAGCTTCAGCTCTACTTGCCCAAGGCTCTTTCCAGTCACAAACAAAGAATTATTTCTGGAAGCCGCATTACTAAACTGACTAAGAACTTAATAGCCATTGATGCAACACCTCTGTGAGGTAAGGAAAATACAAATTTATGATATGCAAAAGACAGGGCTGCTTACCACTAGTCCGGTTTCCAATACGTTACCAAGGATACTTAGCTTTCAAATAATAGGAACCCCAAACTGCCCCTTCAACCTAAAAATCCGATAGCCCAGCTCTATCCATTATCCAGAGAAGTTTAATCCCCTAGAATAAAATGTATAAAACCCAAGAAGCTGAGAAACTGCTTAAATTAGTCAGAGAGTGAGTCAAGGAGAGGCCCTTCAGCATCTGTTTAGCTGCTATGTCCATAATTTGATTTCCGAAAAGAAATCTCTGCTTAGGATTTCCCAGGCCTAAATGCCTCACAGAGCTGGGCACCAAAGCTGCTTTCAATCCCATTGTATCATGACTCCAGGTGACTGACATTTCTCCCCTCTAAAAACATTGCAGGCCCCTACTGCACAGTAGCTAATCACAGAAGCACAGGATGGCAGAGGTTGGAAGGGACCTCTTGAGATCATCTTGTCCAGCCCCTCGCTCAAGCAGGGCAGCTAAGCAGGTTGCCCAGCAAAGCCATGAAGACATTCTACACATCATTAAAAGAATAAAAACTAACAGCAGAGATTGTCCTTATGGCAAATGCAATATAAATACAAATATGAAAAATGCTGAAAAATGCTGAAAAATGGTTTCCACAAAATATGCTGGTAATTAAACTCCCACCCCAGGAAAGCAGGTTACCTTTATGCACATGACTATTTCTCTCTGAACTCTTATTAACTGCATGTTATAAGGCACGTTTGCTAAAAAACTTATTGAACAAGAACCCTAAAACTACAGCATTTTTACTGCAGAGACAAAATACTACTAGCTTGAGATATAATTAAATAAGGCATAGAAACATCATTGTCAGAGTGAAAAATGAAGAATAAATAAATAAGCCTGCAGAAAATAATGAAGCTTTAAAATAAGAATGCTTTGTTCAACACTAGTCCTTCAATCTTGTTTGACTTCAGGACCACCAGTGCTCCATCTCGTAACACTGAAGGCTGCTATAGGCAACACAACGCAATGAACCTTTCCACATTCCTACTGTTCATTTCATTAAAAAAAACATAACGTTAATAGCTGATAGATGTTTTGCATCTTTTCTGGACAGCTTACACATGTAATAACTGCTCTATTTTGGAAGAAGCCCTTTTTAGGTCACTGTTTAAAACTTCAGCCCCAAAACATCCAAATCTTAGGCTAAAGGAGAAACATCTGAACAAACAACAAGAAACAGCAGAGGCTACTAGAACAATTCATGTCGCATGGTGGGTAGCGTATATTCTATATACAAGAATTAATATTTAATGTAATGTATTGCAGTTTGCTCTTACATTCTATAATGGTCTTATGTTCCCATCTCACTCTCCAGCAATGGAAATTATTGTATAGCTGTGGTTCTGTATTGCAGCCTTTATGGAAAAAGCCCCATTGAAGTTCACTTGAGTTTTGAACTGCGAAGGAACAGAGGAGAAGACTTCAGACCCTAGATGTCTAAGCCATGACTAAGTAGGAAAAGACAGGCAGCAACAAATACAATGAGCTCCTTAGAACAGAACACAAGAATCTAATAATAAAATAATGTAAAAATGAAGACTTGCCTCGATAAAAATATAGGATAAGGTTTGACTCTGGTAAATGAATCTGTTCAGAGAAAGTCTGCACAAGAAGAGCTAATACCCTTAACCATAGTTCTGCCCACACCATTGCACCTACTGCTTCTCTTGAATGGATGAGCCATTTGTTTCAGTACACACTTGAGGCCTCATTTCATAGAATCACAATGTTTGGGGTTGGAGAGGACTATAAATCCTATCTAGTTCCAACCTCCAGCCATGGGCAGGGCTGCCATCCCGCAGCTCAGGCTGCCAGGCCCCATCCAATGAGGGCTTGAATGCCTCCATGCATGGGGCACCACAGCTTCTCTGGGCATCCACAATTTCCACACTTCATTTTTACTTCAGAGATGCTATAGATGTAGAGAAGCCAGAGGGGAAGTACAAATCCTCACAGTCACACGAGGCATGTTGCTGGCTCCTATTCAGTCACGGTGCACTGATGTCCCCACATGCAGGCCACAGCCTGGAGTATCACCTGCAGTGCCAGATGGAGATAACACACACACTCTCTCTCCATACATTTTGAAGGAAGCCTTAATAAAAAAGCTGGCTTTGGGTTGCTTCTGTCAATTTGCTTGAGAGCTTTCAGACAGAACCCTACAACCCAAAAATCTGCATCCCCAAATCTCCACAACACAGTTTGCCCAAACCAGCTCAGACCGAATCCTGCCTCGCTAATGTCATCACAGGCATCATTTGCTCACAGACAGGAATCTGATCTGCACTCCAAAGAACAGTCATAATGTTGGTGTTAACAGAGAAGATTAGAAAATACTTTATAGTGACAGGAAGGAATATGAGCAAATTCTCCTTTGCAGGGCTGCATGCGTGACAAGAATCAGTGCAGTTTCTCCTATCAAGAAAGAACAAATCTCCTGGAGAATAAACAGAGGACAGAAATGCCCCATCTGCAGCGATGGAGAGCTCTGGAATTGAAAGCCCACGACCTGACCTGGAAACAGGAGTGGCTGCTCTCTGGCTTGGCATCAGGCAAGCTACAGGAATTCTGCTTTTCCCCTCTCAATGGATATCTCCGTATCTACGCTGTGGTTGGCACAGCATGAAGGCACGGCTCTGTGGGACAGCTGCAGAGCACACAATCCCACTGACTTCAAGGGGAAGTAAACAGGAAGAGGATCTGTGCCCATCTTTGATTTCAATTAACCATGTTGACTAATTCCTCTAGCTTCTGAATTCACTCTCAGTTCCTTGTACTACCCCTTCTACCTGTGGCCATGTGCACTGATGTGTCATCCATTCCATTAGTGTCTTCATGTCCCTGCCAGTTGCATATCTCCATCCCTGGACTATTGATTTCAAAGTCCCAAGCCTACTGCATAGATTCAGCAGAGATAGGGAGGCAGTCATCAAGCTGAATAGGTTTTTCTGAAAATTAGCTTTCTTCTTTAACATATAATTTTTAAACTCTTGTGGTCCCTGGGGCAAACCTGTAGCATAACATGTTTACCTGCAAGTAAAATGAAACTTTCATTTTATTTAAAATGTTTCTAGAAGTGCAGCAAAGCTGATGCTCTAAAGAATACTTGTATCTGATCTAAATTCATTGAGTGATTTCTCTCCATTCCCCTCTGAGTGAAGAGAATTTCTGCACGTTATATACAATGAGATGTTTTTGCAGAACAAAACATTTCTTTTAAATCTGGGGGAAAATAATCTGTTCAATACTTTCCCTTCCCTGTTTGAAAGATGGAATCCTTTACATTCAAATACCGCACAGAAACACTCCGCAGTGTAGGGCTATCAGTGCTGTAGATGTATGCACATGCCCCTTCTGGGATCCCATGTGTGTGCACAGCCTCAACCTCAGGTTATTTCCCTTCGTGATGAACACGAGAGGAGTGATGATATCTCAGTCACGTCCAACAGAGCCAAAAGGTGCTGTATAGCACTCACCTGCCCTGTGCTCCGGATGCTACAAAACCACCTTTGGAAGCCCAACTCCAACCAGCCCTCGCACCAAACATTTCTCCTTTCAGCATGACGCAGAACTTTAATTTCCACCGAGTGGGGGTGACCTCAAGACTACTTTCTCTGCCCGGATGGCAGCGATTCCCCTGGCTGCCGGAACGAAACCAGCCTATAAATAACTTCAGAAGGAATCGTCTCCCTTCCCGTGCACTGCAGACAGCTGTTTACACGGCTCCCACGTCCGAGCGTCAGCTCAGCGCTCGGCTCCGCGCGGTTTAATTTCCCCTTCTCAGCATCCGCAGCCGACGCAGCCGTGCCCTGAGCTCCCCCCGGGGCGCAGATGTCTGCCGCCACGAGCCGGGGTTCCGTCTTCGGCCCCGGCTACGACCGAGCCCCGCTCCCCTCCCCGCGGCTCCCCGCAGCCTCCGTGGCCCGCACGTCGGCTCGCCCACCCGCAGGCGGCCGGAGCGGGGCTCCCCCGTCACGGACACGCGTGGGCAGCCCCGCAGCGCCCCGCAGCCGGCGGGGAGAGACAAAAGCCCGGGCCGGCTCACCTCCTTCAGCTGCTCCAGCTCCTGCTTGAGGCCGTCATACTCCGCCTCCAGCTCGTCGTACTGCTGCTTGAGGGTGAGCTTCTCCTCCAGCACCACCAGCCCATATTCCGCCGCCTGGATCTTCTCGTGGGTCGTCTCGGAGAGCTCCCGGGTCAGCCGCTCGATCTCGCTCTTGTAATGGTCCGCACCCTGCAGCACCTCCTCCGCAGCCATAGCCCCGCCGGCTCTGCCGCGCACCGCGTCGCCGCGCCGCCGAAGCAGCGAGGGGGCGGGCGCGGCCGAGGGGCGGCACCGGCACCGCCGACCTGGGGACGGGGATGGGGATGCGGGCGGAGATGGGGCCGCCGAGCGCCGCCCCGCCGCAGTCGCGCCCCCGGCCCCGCCGCCGCTCTCGCCTCCCCCGGCCCTGCGGCGGCCCCGCGGCCCGCAGGAGGCCGGGGCGGCGATTGGGGCGGGCGGGAGCGCGCGTCGGTGCGGCGGCTCCCGGAGAGCTGGCGGAGCCCTCCTCTGCGCGCGGGGCCGGCACCCCCGCCCCCTCAGCGCGGTCCCTCCCCTGCGCTCTTCAAGATGACGGCGGCCTGTCGGGTTCGGTGCCGTCCGCCGGGCCGGAGCGACGTGGGGATGCGGGGCGATGGAGCCCTCTCGCTCGGCTCGGCGGGTTGTGGTGACGGCCGCGGCACCGCGGTGATGTTAAAAATAGAACATGGGATGCAGTCCAGGAGACTGCAGGAGCAGTGCTCGCTGCCAGGGAGCTTCAAGAGAACCACCGCCTGCTCCCATCCCCGTGTGAGGACCGCAGCACTGAGCTGAGGCCGGTGCACCTCAGGGTGAGATGCCAGTGCTAGTGATCATAGAATTATATAATCATTAAGGTTGGAAAATACCTCTAAGATCATCTAGTTCAACACCAACCCATCCCCACCCTGCCCACTGCCCACGTCCCTCAGTGCCACATCCACACGGTCACTGAGCACCTCCAGAGATGGTGACTCCACCACCTCCCTGGGCAGCCTGTGCCACTGCAGCACCACTCCTTCTGAGAAGAAATGTTTCCTAATATCCAACCTGAACCTCCTCTGGGGCAGCTTGAGGCCATTCCCTCTTATCCCCTTATCATTGTTACCTGGGAGGAGAGGCCAACCTCCATCTCACGGAAACCTCCTTTCAGGTCACTGTAGAGAGTGATTCGTTCTCCCCTGAGATCAGACAGCAGCACTGACCCGAGTCAGATCAGCTGTGGTCACCCCATTGTTTGTCTTTCAAATTAACCAGAAGACCTAATGCATAGATTATGTCTATTTTATGCTGGCTGTAGAAAGACAGATGGAACATGTCCAGCTTGAAATGAGAGTGGTGCGGACAGACAGCCCCTGATCCCACACAAAGCCTGCCAGTAAAACTTCACACATCAGATTAAGGGCTTGTTACATCTCTGGCCTGGAAGAGCGAGTTCACACTAGATCAATGGCACTGGGCTTCATGTCACAGCCTTTGTGATCTGGTACCAGACATCTTAAACCTAAATTCACTGTTTCTTCAAACTATGGCCTGCAAACAACAGCCTTATCCCAATGGTTTCAACAAAGTTTCGCTGCAGCTACCACCAGGATCAGGTTTTCATGCTTTGCAAACATTTATCATTATTATTATTTTAATACTAGCAATATCAGGTCTTTATATGATGAAGTTTAACAACTGAGAGGTGAATAACCTTTTCCTAACATCCAACCTGACCTTCCCTGTTGCAGCTTTATGCCATTCCCTTCAGTTCTACCACTGGTCACCTGAGAGAGATCAGAGGAATAAGCATAGTAACAGATGATCTGTCAGTTCTGTAGCTTGAAAGCAACTTCCCAATATGCTCATTTTTAATAAGTTCTATTGCAGAAACAAGAGTGAATATTAATAAGGAAGCAGCAAGCATGGCTATTAATAGATGAGGAGAGTGAGCGGCCCTCACCACTGAATATCAAAACAGGGGGAAAAAACGTATTCCAATTGTGATTCCTACTGTGTGTCTAATGACTGCTTTCTTTTCTTAAGAAAGGAAATCTTTGCAAAACAGACAAACCAAAATGGTAGCAAAATGTTTTCTTGAGAGCTTTTGCAAGTTAGCCATCTTCAGCTTTTGAGCAGTTTTGTTGTTGTTGTGAAAACAAGTCTTTGGTAAATATTCATTCAAGAATAGATTGGAAAACACCTTAAGGCCAACACTGAAAATGAGCAGTTGGTTGAAGACAGGCTGAAGCAACAGGATGCCGACAGCTAATCTGTCCTTGGTGTAACTCCCCGTGCATCATTTAGCTGACAATCTCACTCATAACCCAAAGGGCCATCTCACCACATGTCTGAACATCTGTGCCCTGGAGAGGAAATCTGGCTCCGTAAAATGTGTCATTTTTCTGCAGTACCTCAGAAGAAAGTTAGGGAGAATCTTTCCTTTTAAAATTGAAAGGAGTGAAATCCAGTGACTACGCAGCATGCAGAAGTTCACAGTGGCTGGTGGAGGGTTTTCATAAACTGTAAGTCATAGAATCATAGCACTGTTGGAAGGGACCTCTAAAGGCCATCTAGCCCAACTCCTCTGCAGTGAAGAGGGATGCCACAGCTAGATCAGGGTGCTCAGAGACTGGTCCTGCAGCTATTCCAGATTGAAAACGCCCAGCATGCCTGTGATTTGCTGTCATTAGGATCTGTTTATTCTGCATCATGCCTCCCATATGCATGCACCATCAAATGCTGCTCCCTTGGTAAGATCTGTCACTGTTCTAGAAGTTTACTGCTTTTAAGTTTTTCTTAGGGTGAAATGATACATGCTCCAGAGCTCCCACTTTCTCCTCTGACTCCAGGGAATCTGGGGTGGCAGCTCAGACACAGATCTCTACTTTCCAGCATACGCATTTAATTACACAAATTCCACCTTCTATATCTTTACCGAGGGCTTAAAACTGGCACACTATCAAGACTTTTCCTCATATATGTTTTATGGACTACTAAAGATGTTCTCTTTTCCCCAATATAAGGAGCTTTGGTCATCTCATCCCCATCCTGTGGCGATAAGAAAGAACGGACAATCCTAAAAATAGCATCTTAGTTATATGGGAAGACATTATTAAAGAAGGAAGTGCTGCAGCACAACCCAAAGGTGGTCACTCTCTAGTGAATACCTCAAATGAAATCTTCTTTGATGGAGATGTCTTGCCTTATGGACTGCCTATAATAATGTAGGGATGGCTGTGGCTATACTGTGGTGCCAGCAAGGTGTTGGGTTCAAGTAACAGATCTGATACTTTTGGGAGTATATTTATCAGTGCAGATAGCCCTAAACAATAAGCTGGGTATTTTAAATAATTTCACTACATTAATATTAATCTCATGCTACTTAAAGTCCTGTTACAATGCTTTACATTTTCTGCCTCTCCCACCTCAAAAAGCCTGCTCCATATTGGGATGCGATTTAGTGGGCATGATGGTGATGGGTTGACATTTGGACCAGGTCTTGTCTGACCTTAATGATTCTATGATTTTGTGATATCATCCTACGTTGTTAGTCCTCTTTCATTTTGCCCTGCTGCTCCCCTTTCACATGAATATTTCAAAACACTCTACAGTCATTTAGTGACACTCAACAGACCCTCCTAAAATGAGGGTTTCTTTATGATTGCATCTGTTCCATGGGCAGAAATTGCCCTTTGACTTTCTGGCACAGGACACTGGTAGACTCTTATAAGGATAGTAGGTTCCCCAACCAAAAAATGCTATTGTGGTTATACGTTTCTGGAGTCAATCAGATATTCAAGGACAGGCAAAATGACGCAGTTCAAATCTTGCTCAAGACAGCATCATCAAAACTCCAAATCACTGAAATGACCCATGTGAAATGAACTACTGGCCCTATACCTTACTGGAAGTGCAGCTGTAGAAATCCCACTGTACTGTGTTGCAGATGTCTGAATCACTGCACCTACGGTATGCACAGACATCACTTCAAGCCCATTTGCATGGAGCTTCGCACAGGATTGGAGCCCAAATTTAACAACCGCTAATTAGCAGTGCTTGGCAGGCTTGCCAAAGTGCCCAAAGGAAAAAAAAATAAAAAGTAGGAGGACCAATCTGCTATCATTAGTAGGAATGGGATTGATTTCCTGAAAGAGAAAAGAGGGAAAAAAAGCACTGAAGGTAGCCAGTACAATAGCTGTCCTGTGTTTTGGAAATAAACAAGTGGCTGCTATACTATCAAAGCTTCATTCTTCTTCAGCACTGAACATACGCAACGTATTTGTAATGAATGACCAGCCAAGAGATAAAAGGAAGGCACCAAGAAAATGAAATTTTAAAAGACATTTAAACATCACAGCACAATAGAAATGGTAATAGGTTTTAAGAAAATTAGTTTAAGGGAAACTAAACACAAGTTAATAAAAATTAATGCATATAATGACAGAAAAAAATGATGTTATCATGGTTAACATGAGTGCCAGTATTCAGAAGGAAGGCTTTGAAATAGCAATGCCTTTATCTAAGTTCTTTTTAAGGAGCTGCAAATGTTGGTAGGCTTAATTTTGGTGGATAGGAGCTTGTATCTCCACCAGAATAATTTTGGAACCCCAAAACCTGAAAGAGTTAAAAGCCAGTAATGTAGAATGATCCAAAAAGAAGAACTAAATAGAACACTTAAATAATGAAATTGTAGAAAAATATGGATGGTGAAGTTTTTCATATGTAATGAGGAGAAGTCAGAAAAACAAAAATGATTTTTATAACTAGTTTTATAATAACAAAAAATTAAGTGCAAAGACATTTAGAAAACATGGCCCAGAAGAATGAAATAATAGTTCAATTCCTGCAAAATGAACTATAGACCATATCACACGTTGTGCGTTGGTCTTGATTCATCTCCACGGACATCAGCTGATTCTTTTTATTGACAGCATTGCCTGTGAGCTCAGGACCCAAGACAGAGCTCTTCTACTCCATGTAGGGTTCTTAAAGTACAAAACAAATGACCGAAAGAAGCATAGTAAGGGTTATTATGCCTGCTTAGTCCACAAGGCACTTTTCTGTGACACAGGGAATAGCTGTCCACTTAGAATGCTTTGTCCAAACAGCTTCTCAGCCATTTTGTCTCAATAAATCAGTGTCACAGTGCAAGCTGTTTCTTACTGGACAGATATAAAAGCAGAAAGAAGAGGGAGAACAGTTTATCTCAGATGAACAGCAGAAACTGTTTGCTCAGAGAACAAATACAGTCAGAGCTCAGGTGAATTGCAATGCGGCAGGTTGT